TTTGGAGGGAAAAAAAATAAAGCAGCATGCAGCAGCATCCTTTGCTTGGGAATTATCTCACGCAGGTCATCAAACAGCTGTCAGGCAGTGTGCAACCCCAAGGAGAGTTTAATCAGCAACCTAAGGATGAAAGACTATATTCTAGTTACCTGAGCCAACTAATCCCCTCTGGAATATTTTCTAAAGATACAGCACCTTATTTACTTTGCTACTGAAACTGCATTATAAAAGAGTCACTTCAATAAAACAATGTAATTCTACAAAGTCAACGCATTTTTCCCAACTACTTTAGTTTAAGAATTTTTCACCTGACAAAAGAAAACTCTTCTTCAGCTTGACCAAACCGTTCATTTATCAAATCACAGTAATTTCTTGTACAGTATGCTTACTTCTGCTGCATACACATCCAAATAAAGCTCCCACATCAGCATTCCTAAATGAAACTGCGACTAGTATTAACAGCAGACTGATTTTGTTATGGTTTAAAGCTTGTACTTTATCCCTTCCTTTCTAACTTTTCAGAATCAGTTTCACTTACTGACTCCAGATTTCACAGTAAGCAGTTTGGGGAAGCAGACCCTTTGGAAGCAAGTTCTCCCAAGCCCTGATCTCAGCATGCTTTACCCATAAAATTAAAAGGTGATTTTGCACGGTATTTCTTTTATAGCAACGGAAAGGAGCACTAAACCACACCCCACAAATACCCCACAAACTCAAAGCAAACTCAAAACCTTTGGCTTAATCAAACCACTAAACTGATGTGGTCCACTGCCAACACTCAGAGCAGCACCTTTACCAATGCAGACTGATTTTCTTACAGTTCCAAGTGCACCAGCTGCAGAGGTACATGTCCCCAAATGCTTAGTACAACTACTGCCTTTTACTTCCCAAATATCATCATCCTCACTGCTCTGTGCACTGAGCTATTTGTACAGCACCCTGAATCACTTCACTCAAACACTGCTAACCCGAGTTAAAAATATTTTCTAGAGAAACACCATACTATTTACTTTGTCAGCTCAAACTTCAAAGCTGTAACCTAGTTGCTAACTCAAGTTAGCAAAGACCTACCAGTGAAGTAGCCTGTGCTTCCCAGCCTCACCTGAGCTGACACAAATCTGAGGGGAGCTCTCTCAAGTGTATCAGCCAGAAAACTGAAGCAGTAATTGCCTCTGCAGCTGGGATGCCAGTGAGCAGCTGCCAGAAGCAAACTTCTCTGTAGCTACAACTGCAGACAGAGACGGTGTGCATCTGCCCTACAGTGTGGTTCTTCTCACTTATACTAAAATATCTGGTAATGATTTATAATCAAGCCCACATACATCCGTCTTAATCATAGTATACATTTCTCTTTTAACAGAATGAGTTCCAGGAATACATAAATTACCTGAATCAGAACAAGGGACAAACTCAGTTAAACTAAAAGCTTGTTGTTAATTTTTTTTTTTTTAACTCTAGAGTGGCTTATAATAAACTTTCAGAAGTGGATGACTGAAATAGGCTCTAAATTTCGATAAAAGCATAGCTTGCTCAGTAACTAAGGATAGCAATTAATTGCTAGTCCTCAATTCCAAGATAACAAGTGAAATCCTTATCCTTGTAATTTTAAAATTAAATGGGCCAGCAAGACCTACAAGGAAAGATACAAACAAATTACAAAGATGCAGAAAATAATGAGGCAAAAGTGAATTGTGAAATACGTACAATTCAGAAAAGCCTGTTGGAATATTTCTCTGGTAATCTTACAGAAGGGAACCCAAGAGTTACTCCTCATCTCAGAAAGAGGCAGGAGAAAGACAAATAAGAAAATACAAAGCTGAATACTATCATTAGGTAAACTAATAAATACTAAAATTAAGTAGACTAATAAATGTAGTGTTTCAGTAAATATTGCAGTTACATGGATTCACCAGAAAAGGGGTCAACACATGGCATGGAAGGCACTGAGGAACAGGTAAGATTAAGAGGAAAGGATCCTACTCAGCAAAGAAGCTAGCAGCACATTTTTTTCTACAGTAGTTGCTGCAGCTCCTGAACTCACCGAAACTGTGCCTCCATGAAAGGAGGTTTTCTGAACAGTTTTTTACTTGAGAATAAACAAACATACAAAAACAGAAACAAAACCAAACAGAAATGGAAAAATATACCTGGAACCAAACACTTCACAGTATTCTATTTTGGAAACCCCAAAATAAGGCACTTCTCTACCAGATACCATTCACAGGATTTGTGACTCCACTACCTTGGTGATCTCCAGCAGAGTCAGGAACTCTGGCAAGGGCAGCAGGTGCTGACTGAGCATCAAGGGAAGGCAGCTCCAGCTAGTTCTGCCAGGGCAAGCAGTATCCCTAGATTTCTACAGAACACAACAGAAGACGGGAGCCCCAGCTCCTGATCCCTCACACCCTCAAACTGCCCAGGAACCATAGGCATTGTCAATAACCTTGCAACCAGTGAGCGCATCATATGGCAAGTGACTGGCAAGTGACAGTCCCCATGATTCAGCTATGACATTGCCACAACTGCACTAAGGAGGGAGTGCTCAAATACCAAAACAAACTCACTCTTGGCAAACTGCCGTAACTCTTCCCAAAGTCATTGAGGCTTCTGAAAACCTCAAGAGTTTGAGATAAACACTTAGACGTTTACGCTTCCTTTTACAGTCATCAGAAAGCACATGTCAGGTCTCAACTCATTTGCTTTAGTGTACTGGGCTGAGATGAATCACATGCCGGGAACGTCCTGGCTAACCATAAAAAGAGCTGGAGCTGAGTACCTGGACATGGATGACTACATCTGCTCAGACAAATGCTACCTTTGACACCACTCAGCACATCAGAGATTTGCAAAGATAATGAAGGGATAACGAAGAAAAAAAATCTAGGATACTGCCAAACCCACTGATGCACACAGAAGACCCACTCTGGGTTACTAACTATGGGTCAGCATTGTCTGCAGCTGAGCCCAACCAGCTCTGCCCAGAAGCACTTAACTAGCTCTCCACACCACACAGCCTCACTGTTCCACGGGTCAATCCCACTTATTTCTCCACATATATGGTTATAAACAGGACTTCTTAGCTCATCCTTCAGGATAGGCAAAGGGCCCTGTCACACCCCTAGCTGCCATTTGGCACCACGATGGTACAGCCCGTAAGTCACCAGGAACAAGCCAGCATATACCTGGCACATCTGCAAACACAGTAACCCACCCTCTTTTCCTCCTGCCCCACTCCACACTGATGCTTTTAGCATAAGTGTTATGGGTCAAGAAAAGAGAATTAAAGGTACCACTTTGTTGCTCTCTGAAAGCTGAGATACAATTTGAAGTGACATTTCGGAAAGGCCACTAAAGTGTCATTAACCTGTCATGGTGGATCAAGGTTGAGGAACTCGGCAGATAAAGAGTGAACAAAAGGTAGTAGCAGCAGTAATTGCAACAAGATCTCTGCCCTCCTTCCCCAAACCATATTTTTCCCTCTCTTCTTTCCCATCTGAGACTAAATAACCATCACCACTCCTTTACTCTCTCCCTCCTGCACACATCAGGCCATCAGCCACGCTCAATGCCAGCTAGATTGGCACTCACTCATGTTGTCTCAGAATCATACAATTTTTAAGACCAGAAAAGAACTGCAAAATCACCGAATTCAACCTTTTAGCCGTGTCACACACCCTAAAGCAGAGACAGAGTTCAGGCACACCTACATATGAGGATGAACACTGCCTGCAGTCTGGCAATAGATTACACAAGAAAAAGGAGGAAGGGGAAAAAAAAAAACCAAAACAAAGGGAGTGATCCATGTTTCAATAAAAATACTACTCAGAACTGGTTACTCCGGTAACTGGTTTAAGTTACAATTTTCCTCTTATCTAAGCTAATTGCTTCCGTACAGTAAATCCTGCTCTCTCCACACGGAGTCAAGAGCATATTGTATTTGTGCAATCACGTCTCACCCACTCTCACAACTAACTGCTTGAATTAGAAGTCTAGCAGGCCTCAGGTTTCTGTCAAAGCCGCCTCAAAACAAGGAGTGCCACTGATAAGCACAACCCTACAAGCAGGAAGGCTCAAGACTTTACAAATACCAGCAAAGTGGCATAAATCAGGGACTAAACACCCAGTAGTTCCTCTGCTCAGGAAAAGGCTTTATTTCAAAGCCAATGAGACCATCTAAAGTATGCATGTGGCCTGTCCCCGTCAGATCACTCAAAATGCAAGATACTAAAAATACCTGAATGCAAAATAACTTTCAAGCAATGAGTTTGCTCCTTCTTTGTGCCAGGGTCAGCACTTGCAGCTACGGAGCCTGAGGAATTAGAGAGCCCCTCCTCTTTTGTACTATATGGAAAACTTGTCTAAAAAACAACTCAATTGGCTGCTGAAGGCAACAGAAGTCCACAGAGTACCTGATCAGAAAGGTAAATTTCCACCTGTTTTTTTTAACAAGTCTTCACAGTATTTGCTTCTAACTTGGAGACAGCAGAGACAGGCAAGCATCAGCGAGTGAACAGCTTCAAGACTGAAGAGCTGTCCCATTGCACAGGGTCCCACCAGACACCTACACGTGTGACCACATCTACACCACTTGCCCCGCTGGCTTTGCGGAGTCCACAGAGGTGGGCAGAGGGAAGCAGGGTAGGATGTCCACTGGTTCACGTCATGCTGGACATCACCATGAAGTTGTTGCTCAGGCACGAACGTAACACTTTCAAATGACCACACGCAAGTGACAAAATCACTTAGTTACGAGCCAAATAACTCCTAAAGCTCCAGCACCATGATCACGTCAGCTCTTCTACCCAGATCTGCAGCTTGGACACTCCCTGCTCTGGCTCTACCCCATTTGCCACAAACATTCACGTGCATGTATGCAAAAAAGATGAGACCCATTTATCAGTCATGACAGCTAACTGAAAAATGCTGACAAACAAAACGGAGACAAGCCCCTTTCCTGGTCACAGGAGCACGCTCAGGAGCAGCAGACTGTGGCAACTCACAGGATACGAGGCTGGCTCCAGCACCATGGATGATACTGGCATTTTTTGGTAAATTCTCAGTCTTTTCTGAAATCTGAAAAAGGAAGCAAAACACAGTATGACAGTCCCTCGGGAGCTACCCTGGGCATGGAAAGACCATTAGGGACATGGCCCAGGGCTTCTTCTTGACAGCTGGGCCTTCACCTCCATCACTGCATGTTCCCCATGCCGCTGCTCGCATCGCAGAGGGAAGATAAACAAGAAAAGATAATCAGCTCGGGAACACGCACGCACGGATCTGAGCTTTCCAACTCTGCCCTGGACCGCTGCATCCCTAGCAGAGGGATCGCGTGGCCGGAGACGGCGATGCCGACTTTGCCGGGAGAACTGACAATGGTGGCAGGTCCCATCCCCTCATCAAGCACAGGCCCTTCCCGCGGGCATTCTGGGGGATCCCGCCCTCAGCAGAGGGGCCGCGACACCGCTCCGCCAGCCCGGGCTGGGGGACAGAGGAGGGGAGGGGGGAGGCAGCCGACCCGCTCCGCTCCGCTCCGCGCCGCCCCGGTTGCATCATGCAAAATGGACGCACCGCGTGGAGCCGCCGCCTGCCCCGGCCCCGGCTCCATCCCGGCCCCGCCCGCACTCACCCGTGCCGAGCGAGGGGCAGCCCGGCGCCGGCGGGCTCGGGCGGCAGGCGAGGCGACCACACGGCGTTCCCGGCTCCCCGCCACCGCTTTAGATCTTCATAGAGGGAGGGCGGGCCCCGCTCCCCGCACCAATGGATGCGGCCGTCACGCCACGGCTCTTCCGGGGCTGGGCCGGGTGGGAAGGGACCACTAGGGGTCACCTAGTCCGACCTCCCCGTTCCCACAATATTTGAATTTTACTGGGAGCTGTCAGATGCTCTCTTATAAATGCCTTTCTTGATACACTGGCAGCAGTCCTAGTAGGTGCCACTCGGTATGAGGTATTTGCAGAATTGGCAGAATCCTCTGTCCTGAAGGCTCCGCAGTGGTGGTTGCAGAAGAAGCTACTTTGCACCACAGAGTCCGTGGATTGGATGGTGGAATTCTACCTCTGGACCTCCCAGTCCCATCTGGGGATGTATGTTGTATCTGAGAAGAGTTACGCTCAACCTACGCATATTAGTCATCCTTACATTTGAAACCAACAGGATGTTCACTAATCACAGAACGATAGAATGGTTTATCTTGGCGTCACAACATGCCACAAGTGAGGATAACCCAGGAGAAGTCCACAAAGCTCAAGGATTTCATGAGCTACATACACTCAGGTTCAAGTGCGAATGCCTAGTACCTCCCCTGGGGGGTGGAGTTTTACGCTGGATGATGCAATACTGTGAGTCTTGGGATACTTCAGGGCTCTGTGATGGTCTAAGTCATTACAGCTGCCTACTATGTCAGTGCAGTTGAGTCCATTATGGCTCATCAGCAGAGATGAATGCCTTTGGGCCACGCGTGAATGTCTCGGTCTTCCCATGAGGGGAGTTACCACAGCTGAGTCATTTGTGTATGGAGAAAGAAACACTACTCCGCCTGGTAGGGTTTGCCACTTTCCTTATCTTAATAGCCAGCTCGTAGGCTGAGGTGTGGGGTTATGCACGCCCTCAGCATCTGGGTTGACACTCTGCACATTGTTAGCAAAGCACTCTGCTGACTGTTTGAGCCAGCAGCATTAACAGCCCAGTCTCTCACGGGAGGGGGTATGCAAATGAGTCTGTGGGCTATGGCCTCCTCCCAGCCTTCTCTACTTCTCCTTAAACCTGAGATGATTAGACAATAGTACCGCCTTTATTCTTACTTCAAATTCCCATCAGGAGGCTTAACTCACAGTCCAGTTCCCTGAAATCCAGGAGGCATATTCTGGTGAGGAGTAGGCTTCGGTGATCTTAATAATGTTTAAGCCATAAACCATTTCAGTCTCTTACAGTTGGAAAGGACCTTAAAGATCATCTAGCTCCAACCCCATGCCACAGATGGGAACATCTTGCACTAGACCAGGTTGCTCAAAGCCTCATCTAGCCTGGCCTTGAACACTGCCAGGGATGGGGCATACCTAGCTTTTCTGGGCAACCTCTTCCAGTGTCTCACCACCCTCACAGTAAAGAATTTCTTCCTCATATCCAATCTAAACATACACTCTTTCAGTTTAAAGCTATTCCCCCTTCTCCTGTCACTGCTAGCCCTTATCCAAAGTCCCTCTCCAACTTTTTGTAAGTCCTGTTTAGGTACTGGAAGGTGCTATAAGGTCTTCCCAGAGCCCTGTGTGAACAATCCCAGTTCTCTCAGCCTTTCTTCATAGAAGTGCTCCAGACCTCTGATAATCGTCATAGTCCTCCTTTGGACATGCCCGAATGACTCCATGTGCTTCTTTGTTGGGGGCCCCAGAGCTGGACACAGCACTCCAGGCTGGATCTCATGAAAGCAGAGTAGAAGGGGAGAATCACCTCCCTTAACTACTGTCTGTCTCTTTTCCTTCTCTTGCTTGGTTGCATGAGTGACTTGCTCCTTTCCAAGTTATTCAGCCTTATAATAATGACTGCTGACAAATAAAATTATTAAAAGATAATAGCAAACAGGTATTTCCATTTCAGTGGGAAGATGTTCTTTCCCACTGTGACCAGAGTGATACTCTCATGTTTCATTTTTCCTGATTTATTCCACTTATTACTTTTTTCTTTGCTTGTGCATTATAGAATTCAGCAGTAGTTCAGTGACCGAGGAATCAAAGGAGATGCATCAAACAAAACTGATGCAACAAGAGCTAGGCGAAGAGGTCGCCTTTGAATCAGACAGTGGATTTTAAAGTTCTCCTGACCCAATTTTATTCCAGCAATGCTGAAAACAAGGAGAGATGTGATTGCCAAGAATGGAGTGACTTCAGATTTCAGACAGCAAAACAGCAAGTTATTTGCTTTAATCAAATAGATCAATGGTCTCCATTTGAGAACTCATTTGACTTTGTGTTCCATTTTTCATTTAAATCCAGAACCTCGTATAGGTTTACTTCAAAATGTCTCTTAATATGTTGTGTGCTGCTAAAATCAGAGTCCCATGACTGATTTGCCTTTCTCAATATCATTGCTGTAAACTATATCCATTCAGGACAAAATATAAAGAAGGACTTGGCAGCCTAACATGCAGCTGAGTAAAGGCCTCTGTGCTCAGACCACTGTTCCTAATCCCCTTCCAGACTTATGGAAGCTCATTAGCTCAGATGCCAACTGATCAAATAGCCCCCACCTTCCTATGAGTACTCAAGATGCAGTTACATCAGAAGCGCTCAGAGAACTATCATAAAACATTAGCTCTGAGTTCAGGTAGTGCTGTAAGGGCTTTCCAAAGCAGCAACTGAGCCCTAGGAATCCCTCTGACAATCTCACTGCCTCAGTCACAGAGCAAGTGCCATGTTATCTCTCTCTTGCTCTCCTTTTTCACACAGCAATCTTGCACTCCTCTGAGCCTACGAGCTCTGCTTAAATAGGTGGATATAAAGTGTCATGCATTCTGCTGCCTAGAGAACTCTCTGAACAACTCAGACAAGAGCATGTTAAAAGGGTCTAAGATTAGGTTATATACAAGAAACCTCAAATATACTATGCTGCAGTTCTTTACCAGTTTAATCAAAACCCAGTTATCCAATGACCCCTAACAGTACACAACTGAGGTCATCCAAGATGTCCCGATAGCATTTGAGTCATTTATATCTTCCCAGTTTCAGAGGCTAGACTCATGTTACTAAATAGAATGGGCTGTGTCCTGTTATCTGTCTTTGAGGGCAAGCTGCACAGCACAGCTTGCATCCATTCAGCAGAACCTTCTTCTTCTCCAAAACAATTCCATAGCAAGGTGACCACCTCCAAACTGCTCACTGGGCAGAGCAATGCCATGCTGTCCCATGAACTGTGCACAGACATTGTCCGGGGAGGGCTGTTTTGCACAGACCATACCTGCAGTGGGAACTGTTAAACACCACGGGCAATTGAGGACTGGTACACCATCCTAGACCCTCACCATATTTTATTTACTAAGATAGGTGAGGCTGAAGCTTTGTTATGGACCAGACAAGACAAATTCTGGAAAGGTGGCTTTTGGCATTTTGTCGTGAGCAACTCCATCACCACACCAGTTTGTGTTAGATTTTAGTCCCCAAAATGTAACTTTCTCTCATTGACTATAAAAAAGAATAAGACATCTTCCTCAGCATTGTAAATTTTGTTCTCAGAGCCAAATTAACTTCCTGGCACTACAGCCCTGTGTAGCCTCCTAGGTCTGGCCCTTGATCTAAGTGTGATCCAAATACTGTGTTTGATCTCAGCCTCCTGCTCTGTGCACAGCAGCCCTACTTCCTCCTTTTTGAATTTTGTTTCTATTTATACCATTAACAAACCTTTACACATTTATCTTCACAGATCTTTGCAAGGTCTAACTCAGCTTGACTTTTGGGCTGAATTCCTACAGTTTTTGACCTTCAAAACATAGCTGCATAGACTGACTGACCTCTTTATCCGTTCCCATAGACTGTTTACACCTAGCATCCTTCCTTGGACAGTCATTCATCCAGGTAACTCTGGAGAACTTCCTCATTCATTTTCCCCTTGTTGAACATGCAAATTCCAGAAAGATTTTCTGCCTCTGATGCAAACTCTCATAGTCCATCATATGCAACCTCAGAGCTTGTCAAACTGGTTAACTCCAGTCACTACTTTTCTTAAATTTCTTGAGGTTTTCCCTGTGGAAAAACAAACAAAGAAAGATATTTATCCAGAAAGATATTTTTTAACCTTTTCCGCATTCCACTGAAATGCTATCAACACTCTGATCCAAGATTTTTTTACTGTAACTAGTTCTTTTATAATATGTTCCCTACAAAAACTACATCCCAACTACATTTCCTTTTGCTTGTGGAGATACAAAAGTGTGATATCATATCCCTTTGTTCTTGAGTTTGCAGCCAGAACATTAAACTCTTGCATATTGACAATTCACAGTAATATTTATTCTTGATATTACAGAGACATTAAAATCTGGGGTTTTCTAAAAGAGGCCTCTAACACCACCCTGGTTTTCTCCTTAACTATCCTTTCCCAGAGGATTTTGACTCAACATATTGTTTTCTTTCTGCTTTGTCTCAGCTTTCTTTATTATCTATCACTGTTTCCTCATTCAGTAGTGACCAAGAAGACAAATCTATCATAGGGGATCACTGGTAACGGAAAAGAGAAGAGTACAGAAAGCATTGCTATGACTCTGCTATGCTCACACCTTGAGAACTGTGCCCACATCCAAAAAGAAGATACCAGAACCTGAAAGATTCTGAGAAGAGCAGGATGAACATTAAAGATGTGGAATAATTTACATTTAAGGAGTGGCTGAGTAGGCTTGAAATGCTGAGCTTCAGAAAAAGATGACAGACAGAAGATACACTAACAGAGCTGTAAAATGATGGCTGGGAAAGGTAGATGCTATGAGGTGATAGAGGGTGTTCACTTCTCTTCCAAAATAAAAACCAGGAGCTATCAAATGCAAACAGTGCTCAAGATGCAAAATGTGTGCAGGAGCACTGGATAAGTGCTTGGCAGAGGGACCCAAGAGAGCTACAAGTAAACTATGTTGGACTTGGGAAACCCCCTGAACTGAAAAGAGGTGAATATTGGGAGAGCATTCCCAGGGGAGTACAGGGAATGTTGAATGGCTGGCCAAAAGTTAAAGCATGTTAGTATGGGCATTATCTAAATGCCTCTTAAAAACTAATAGGCTTGGGGAATCAACCACCTCTCTAGGAAGTCTCTTCCAGTGTTTGATCACCCTGTCAGTAGAGAAATGCTCCCTACTGTCCTGTCTGAACCTCCCCTGGTGCAGCATTGAACCATTCCCACGCATTCTGACACTGAACCCCAGGGAGAAGAGCTCAGCACTTCCTTCTCCAGATCCCCTCTTCAGGAAGCTGTGAAGAGCGATGAGGTGACCGACTCAGCCTCCTTTTCTCTAAACTAGACAAAGCCAGAGTCCTTTGCTGCTCTTCACAGGACTTTCCTTCCAGCCCTTTCTCCAGCTTTGTTGCCCTCCTCTGGACACATTCAAGTACCTTCACAACCTTCTTAAATTTTGGGGCCCAGAACTTCACACAATACCCAAGGTGAGGCCACACCAGTGCTGAATACAGCAGGACAATTGCCTCTTTTGTTCGGCTGGTGATGCTGTTTGATGCACCCTGGGATGGGATTTTCCCTCCTGGCTTCCAGAGCTCACTGATGACTGACTTGCATTGAGCTGCTGCCTGCCAGCACCCCCTGATCCCTCTCTGCCAGGCTGCTCTCCAGCCCCTCCTCTCCCAATTTATACTTCTGCTTGTCATTACTCCGTGCAGGGTGCAGAATCCAGTATTTGGATTTGTGAATTTTATCCCATTAATCGTAGCCCAATCTTCCAATACATGTAGATGCCTCTGCAAGGTCTGTCCCCCACGAGAGCCAAAAGCACCTCCCACTTTGGTATCACAGGAAACTCACTAATGGTGCACTGAGCTCCTACATCCAGATCACTGCTAAGTTTATTGAACAGGACTGGCTCTAGAATTGAGCCATGAGAAGCACCACTGGAGACTGGTCACCAGACAGATGTAGCCCCATTCACTGCAAAGCTCTAAGCTCTGCCTTTCAGCCAGTTGGTCACCTGACACATTGTGATGTTTTTATTTTTCTTCCATACTCACATCTTGTTTCTGCGGTCCTCCTGTCTTGCTCACAGACATACCTTGCACACTCTTCACAAAATCACAGAATGGGTAAGGCTGGAAGGAACCACAGTGGGGCATCTGGTCAACCCTCCCTGCTCACCAAGGGTCATCCTAGAGCGCACTGCACAGGATCATGTCCATATGGTTCTTGAATAACTCCAGTGAGAATGTCATTTCTGCTGCTTCTCTTTTCTCCCCAGCTCAGTACTTACTTTACTCAGTAGTAAACAGGTTTTGTTATTTCTGTGTTCCTACCTGAATTAGAGACAGTGTCTTCTTTAGCAGGACCAAACTGGCACAGTAGGGCTCCACGCGCATCCTCTGTACAGCAGGAACTAGTGGCTCTGCATCATTTCCAGCCTCTCTTGATAACCCAGACAGCCCAAGATAGCCAAATTCCTACTCTCCCTTGTACTCAGGTGATGGTTTCTGAGTACGTGGGCGAGGTCTGTGAAAAAAAGCCAGGCAAGCCATACTGCAAGTGAGAAGGTTGTGCCTGCGACCACCACCGCTAAGTACAATGGAAACTATTAGACCGCACCATGTCGCGATCAAGGCCGTGTTCACACCTTGAACCCCCAGGAAATGGTGAGGCAGGAGCAGCCTCCGTCAGGTCTGTCGCCCGGGGACCAGCCCGGGGACCAGCCCGGGCCGGGCCCACGTCCCGCCGGCAGAGCCCGCGCGGCGGCCCCGGGCACAGGCGCATTCCTGCGGCGCCCCCGCGCGGCCCGCCGGGGCCCTGCCGCCCGCCTCGCCGCTGCCTCCGCGGCTTCCCCCCTTCCCCTCCCTCCCTGGCTCTGTGGCCGGGACGCGGGGAGCCGCCGCCAGACCCAGCCCGGACCCCGGGAAGAGCGGCTGCTCCGCGGGGCTCAGGCGTCGGCTGGCAGTGCTGGGGCCTCACCCTGCCCTCAAACCGGCCGCGGTGTCCGCTCCCCCGAGGACGCCCGGCGTTCTGGGGGGCTCCTGCCACAGCAGTCACTGCCGGCTTTGATAGCCCTCTCTTCCCTGGCTTCACCTCCCGCCACCGAACCTTCCTCTCCCCAAGGAGGAACCAACCCGCAAAGACATTTGGGGACCTAAATCCCTCGATTTTAGTGGGATGTTGTTACCTATACTTAGGTATATTTCTTTCCATGTTCTTCAGGCAGTGTGGAATTTCCCATTGGGCTGATGGAGAAACTCCCCAGCCAAAACCCGACAAACTCCCCTTTATTGACATGAAAATAAAGCAAAGTGAAAACCCCAACCGTGTAGCTGTGGGGCCCCTACGTTCCTTAGAGGTGGTGGTTGTGTTTCTCCACCAGAAATTATGTTGCGCCCATGACACGGTGCAGTAAACATCTACGGGGAAAACCATTCCCACCCAAAGACTGTGCTCTGCGGAGGCTGGGTTGTTTGGCTGGCTTAAACAAGATGAGAGCAGTTTGGAAAGTACTGGTGGGGCTAATGCAGCCTCCCTAGCCTTGGGTAAGTCAGACGCTGAGCAGGGCAACTGCTGAGCCCTCCTGACCCCTCCAGTGGGAACAGTATAGTGGGGCACTGGTGTACTCAAACTATCCCAAGGCTGGCACTTGGTGCCATGAGAGCAGCCTCTCTGGATGTGGCCTGGAAGAACTCTCCTGAGGGAAAAGCATCCTCCTCCATATTCAGAGGTTCCCAAATACAGCATATTGCCTGCAAAAGAAGCCATTACTACAGCTTTCACTTGAACTTTCTTAATTACACCAGACGATGCCTGGACTTTGGTCTTCCTCCATTTGACATATGTGTGTCTGTTCCTCCACAAAAATTACACCCCTCTAGAAAAATCCTTTTGGTTTTCCCATTGCTCTGTGAGGAGTGGGGTCATTGCTCTCCACAGCTCCGGTTCTTGCCCTTTGCAGCTGAACCTTACACACATAAGCCATATATTATTTGGGCTTACCAATTTGCAGTCTGTTCTTAGTTCCCAATTTTTATCATTTTGAGGGGGGGGTATGTTTTGTTTGTTTGTTTGTTAAGGTTTTTGTTTGTTTGCTTTGAGTATTTTTGTTAGCATTCTCTTACCTAGACCCTGCTACCCTTCAGAAAACCCTTCAATTTCCTGAAAAAGTAGGTCCTTCCAGGTCCATGATCTGGCCTAGCTCTTGTAAAAGACTTATGCCACCTACCCTGAGAAGTGTCAGATTGTCTCCTCTGACATCTCCAGTAAACATTCCATCCATGATCTCAAATACCATTGCTTTCTTCCTTGCTTCATCCTTCCTTCTACCATCACCCTGAGCACAACAAAGCATGCCCACAACTAAAATCCCTGCCTCAAAGAGACTTAGGTGGTCAGTACTTTTCTCCACATCTGTAGATCTACCATGCCTTGAAACAGGCACCTTCTGTTCTTGGTCAAAAACATGGCAGCTGGAGTTACCAGATCACAACCTTCAGCAGCCTGGACCTTCCCAGTCTTCCTGGTTATCTTAGTTCACATATGGGCAAAACGAGCTTGTATCTATCATTGCAGTCCCCATCACTGAAGGAGCATCATCCCTCCTTCCTCTTCATTGTCTGCAGTGGTCTATGCTTCCTGACACTCTGCATCTCCTTCTGCTTCCGCAGCTACATCTCAGCCTGCATTTGCCTGGGAACAGCCTGTGGTAGTGAGCAGGGGTGCCCTCAGCATTGCTGGAGGTAGCCTTGCAAGGACCCTGCTTCTGTTCTTTCTTGAATCTTTAAGGATAAGCTCAAAAGCTCCAGATCAGATTCTCTCCTTCAGGTGGCTTGTTTAGTCTTTTCCAGCCCTTCAAACCCAGCATTTCTTCTTTACTCAATAACCCTGCCATGATGAGACAGTTCAGGCCTATATCTTTTCTGATTTAGAGTCTTGCAGTCCTTCTGATGCAGGGTAAACTGGTGTAGACTGGCTGCAGCCTGAAACCAGTCTCTCCCAAACTAGCATCTCTGAGATTGATTCCTTCTGTTCTGTTCTTTCCCTCAAGCTGCACCATACCAAGGCATTGAGAAGATATGGACATCTTTCCCAGATAGGAACATGTTTCCTGTATCTCTGCTCACTGCCCTTCCCATGAAATCTGTGCCTTGTGCTTGCTCATGGGTTTTCCGCAGCCCCTGTCCTCTGTCTTCCTCTCCTGCTCTGAGATGGTTGCCTACAATCAGGAATTCATAAAGGAGCATTTTATGCAGTCTTCAGGGAGAAAGTACTACCCTTGCAGAAAACTTGAGGATGATAATGAAAAAGCAGTGTGGAATTATTTGCATGTGGTGATTCCTGTTTGTGTTTGCCTCACGTGGCCCATTCCTCTTCAGCCTTGGAGACTTTGGACATTCTTAGTCATTTACTACCCACTTCTAGGTTTGTAATATGGCTTTATTTTAATGCACAGATCTTTGATGCATTCTCTAAGACCTCATGGATTTTAGCTGTTGTTTATGCTTTTTCCCAGAGGAATTACTGTGTTCCACCCCAGTTTTGGTGCTATCCCGAAATTCCCCAGCCTTCCCCTCCCACTGGTAGCACTGAATACTTTTCTGCAGAGCACCATATCATCCCCCAGTCTCTCAGTAAAAAAAACCCACTGGTTTGAGGCAAAACAAGAGGTTGCTCTTTATCCTGATCTTTCAGATCCTTGCTGTCTCTGAAATGTAGCAGCTTGGTGTTCTCTGTCTCCAGCTTCACCCACTGTGTTTCCTTAGGTTCTGGCAAAGTTCAATGCAGTCAGAAAGTACCTAATCACCTTATGCAGTGTTTTCACCCAAAACAAGTCTGGTTCTCCTGGTATTTGGAAGCCAAAGAAGTGTTATGTGAAAACATGTCTGCATCACTGGAAAGCCCATGCCTGTGGGGGGCCACCACCTGGCCCACGGTCTTGACCTTGAGCAGGGTTCACTGGGCCTGACAAGACCATTGCTGTCTCTCAGCAAGTGCTGGCCCTGTGTCACTCAACTCAGGAGCCGTTGCATTCCTGCCCAGTGACACAGTGATTGCAGATGTCCTGGGACTGCAGAAGCTCATGACAGAGTTCGGATCACCGCTCATCAGTGACCATGCATAGCACAGACAGGAGGAGTACCATGCTCCCATCCTTCCCTGCAGTCACTTGGTATGGGGAGAATTGGTCACAGAAATCAAGAGTGGATCCCACTGCCTGGAGGGGAGCTGGATGTCCACTGGAACACCCTTTTCTCAGAGGTGATGAATTGATTCCTGGTAAGTTCAGTGTTATCAGAAACAGTAGCAGTTTTCCTCCTAAACAAAAGAAGATTTTGACTCTTCGGCTGTCCCTGAGGACTGAGATGTATGACATGCTGCCCTGGCAAAGGGAGCACAGAGGATAAGCAAGTCTGGGAGAGCCAGCTGGGAGGCTGGCATCAGCTCTGGGTCTGGAGTGCCACATCATGAAAATAGAACAAGTCTGCAGCATTATAGGAGCATTAATAGTCACAGAGACTAGTCACAGAGAGAAGGCCTTTTGCCCTTCAAGGGAGAGAGCCAGGCCAGGAGCACTGGAGCTATTAATTGAACCACAGAGCAGTCATTTGTACATTTAAATGATAGAAGACTAAATATGTTCTGCAATCAGTCCTAGCAAAGGACACTGATGGGGACAGGCTCCTTTCAAAGCCTGACATCCAGCTGCTCTGAGCTGCCTGACACGGCTTGCAAGCACAGCTCTTTCTTCCTGGCTCTTGCCAGGCTCCCTTAAAGAGGCAGTTCCTCATGCCTTTTTCTTCCTCAAGCCAAAGGTAATAGCAAGTAATAATCGAGATGGTTATAACATATAGCTTCCAGCATAAATAAACAACCTCACTGATTTAAAATGTTCTATTGATTTCTGAGGTGTATGTGTTGGCAGTGGTGCTGAAATATCTGCACCATGAACAAATTTGTCCTCTGGCTCTGCCCAGAGCTACATCAGCCAACCGAGTGTTGCCCTTACAGCAGGACTTCATGTGATTCCTTCAATTTCTTCCACGAATGAGATTTGTCTCCCATTTTTTCAGTCTCTGCATTATGCAGCTTCCAGGTGTTGCTTGAGAAAGACGAGACATATTTTTCTGTAAACCTTTCTATCTGGCAGGACAAGTACATTGCAGCCGTCCTTCATTATCAACACTTTGCTTTAGCCTAAGTGTTCCAGCTGGTGTCAGAGCAGCTTGGTGTTGGCACAACCTCTGATACTGTGTTTTCCCAGGTCTTAGTATAGGAGATGCAGAGTGAAGGGGTCTTCAAATTCTTAGCCCAAATGCAGCATCAACACTACCGATATTTGATGTGCTCTTTAAAAGTCCTGTGAGGGCAGTCTCCGTCCCTCCCTGCAGTAAGAAAAACAAAAGATGGTTGGTTGGCCTGTTAGAAACATCTGACCTGCTGAATGAAAATTAAGCAGTGGTTGGAGACAGAGTATCTCCCAGAGTGCTGAACGTGAAAAAACATGTGCTGTCTTTTTACAGCCTTGCCAGAGACCTGCTGATGATGGACTGTCAACTGCAGAGAAATATCTGGCATCAAGTATACCCTTAAGAAAACATTCCCTTTGCATGTAGTGAAATCACTCCCTTCCAACACATTTACAGGAATCCTTTAAAATCTCCCCATCAGAGAATTCTGCTCTCTCACTTCTTTCTGTTTCCTCTCTCTTTGGTGCCCATTGTTCCTGTCGAAATTCAGAGTGTAAGATTTCCCAAATAATGAGGAGAC